CTATCTACTTCCTAAGGTGTGAGAGCCGTGCTGAGAGGATGAAAGGCTGACCTAGTGCCAGTCCTGAACGGCCTGCGGGAACTATGGGCACGGTACTCCCGACTAATCTAGCCCTTACCTTCAGTAGCGAAAGGAGGTGGACCGTTTAGGCCTTTTTATATAATCCAGGTTCCCCATGACCAGTAATGAAAATGTAATCCCTTTATTAGAGGCAATGAGGCTAGCCCCTTTATCAAATAGCCCCAACCCAGGCTCTCCTTTGACCACGGCTCCGAACACTGAAACTACTGCCCACTCCTCAATGCCTACTAGTGCATTACCCACCCAAGCAGAGAATCAATCTCTAGAAGACATTCCTACCCACCCAACTTCCTCAAATTCAACTCTACCCCTGCAACCTTCATCAAACAACCAATCCTCCCTTATTACTACCTTGCTACCTTATTCTCCATCATTCCGCAATACTCCCTATTCCACACGTCCCCGACCATCCACCACCACCAACCCTACAGATATCTTAAATACTCTGTTTAGCCCAGCTAAATGGGACCGATTTTTCGTGATCCCTGCTACAGCTCCTTACTCAGGCAAAACTCTTCTCTTTCAACAATGCCTACAAAAACAAGTAGGCAGAGTCCCTTTCTATACCAGACGCGATCGCTCCCGTGGTAGTCAGATCAGAAACTGAATCTATAGCACTATCAAATTTAACTGATCATTCTGGCAACCCCATTCCTGCAGAACCTCATCCAACCCTTAATACCTGTACCGGAACGGTCTCTCTCTCCCCAGCAAACTGCCCAGTCGATACCAAAGATTGGTCAGACTGTGGAGAAGACTTATTAGGATGCCTCAAAGACCAAGATGTGAAATCAGTACATTGCTACACCATTCCTCCTAAAGGTCAACGAAAGAATCCGACCAATATTGCCAAAATTACCTTCCGTACACATGACCTTCCCTTACGTATCTACATTGGTGGAAAATCCCTCCCTGTTCGACCATACCAACCCCCTCCCCGTCAATGTCAAAACTGTTGGCGCTTTGGACATCCTGCCAAACATTGCCGTTCCACAGACCGATGCCCCATATGTGCCCAACCTGGTCATAATCGATTAAACTGCTCAGCACAAACACGAACATGTGCTAACTGCGGCGGCCCCCATAATGTATTTTATAGAGGCTTACAAGTTTGAATCTGAGGTAGCAACTCTCAGATGCAAAAATGGTCTCACTTTACGTGAAGCCAGACAGGAAGCACGTCGACAAGGTTTCTCTCATACTCCATATTTCTAGCATCATTCGCTCAGCCTTCCCCCTCCACCCAAAATGTCCCCATTTCCACTTCTACATTCTACATCCCTCAGACCAATTCCTTTGCCACTCTAAACCCAGACACCCCAATCTCAACCACAGCTCCTATCTCAACTACAGCCCCAACACCAACCCCTCTCCCTCCCCGCACTACCCGCAGTAGACAGACTAAACGTTCTAACCCTTCTTCCCCTACAGCACAATCACCTCCACCTACCTATACCTTTGTTCCTGAGACACCAGTCTCCTCTTCCCCTCCCCCCCCCCTTCATAAGAAAACCTTTATCCCACAAAACTCTCCAACCAATTCCATTGCAGAAACAATTACCTTCTCACAAAACTCTCCAACAAACTCCACTGCAGAAACAATGGATGACATTCAAAGCTATATGTTTGAGACACAAGATCCCATAACTCATGCTCCTTGATGTTTTCTAATGACTACGTTTATTGTAGTATCCAGTGTACTGTCATTACTTTCATTGAGATATGTTTCAATGATCTCTCTTCGCTTTACTGAGGTCTCCATCTAGAAAAAAGGTAATTGTTGAAGACCGCGACGCACCCTCGCAGAGACTAAGTCGAAAAAAATGATGTTTTCTGCATGAAATCCTATGATTTCATCGATTTTCGGCGTTGTTTCTTTTGCGAATGAATCGTTCAGGAGATCGTGTACCATTTCTCTATCGACGATCTTGATTTGATAGTCCCGTTAGCAGGGGAGGGCATGAAGTATATCAGGGAAATTATGGGGTAAAATAAGCTTAAATAAGAAGAATAACGATCAAAAATGCGTAAAACTAGCACAAAAAGCGCCTAAAATCGGCCAATGAAACTCTACGGATGTAACCGCCATCTTTGAAAGTTTACGGACTGACGCGAAATAAATAAAAAACTCTACGGGAACCCAACCCACATTTCTGTAAAACTCTACGGGAATTCACACGTTCCAACCCCCAAAAACGTATTGACCAATAAACCAACCTAATATATCAATATAAATTGCCGTGACTAGGCGTGGCCTTCGGCCACTGCCCGAGGGGAGGGTTGATGGGGGGCAAGCCCCCCAACACCCCCCAGGACACATTCTCTCCACCACGGTATGTACGGCAAGACAGAGCTGCATTCACACCGTAAAAATAAAACCAAATACCTTTATATCCAGAAACGTGAAACTTTCGTTTCTTTGTACTGTTGGGATTGCTTCGATTTTAATCACCTTTTTCGTCCTTTGGAGCTCTTGATGGGCTCAGATATAAAACTGGGATGGTTACTGAAGTCTAATTATTCTTCGATGCCACTGTAAAGGTCTGAAAAAAAAACCAGAATCAACACAACACTGGAAACGCAACATTTCTCACCGGCTTTCAATCTCGAAATGAGCGGGTTGGTGAGCTGTCAACCTGTGGCTGGCGCAAGAAAGTGTGAAACACTCGATGCGCAGGATTCGATTTGAGGGTATAGATAAATATTAAAATAAGCAAATGAAGTATAATAACATTACTAAAAGACTTTAAAGGTATAAATGCGTACCACCAGACACAGATAATTAGCCAAATATCGTTTTGACAAGCGCGTAATGATACACGGACTAGTTCGCTAACGCAAAAATGCGTTCGTGGGTCAGTGTCGTGTTTTTCCTCGCAAGGTAAACAAGCTCATCGACTTTGAATTTGAAAGGCGGCCGCGCGTTATATTTTCGTCATTTAGCGGTGACTATAAGGCCGGTGCATCTTAAACTATACGCTATCCCCTTCTATTTTTCCCGCTCTATAAGATGGCGGTGTCCATTTTCCTCTCTCTACGCGCGCCGCGGTCTTCAACCTCTACCTTATATCTTTCAGGTGAATCTTTACAATAACTGAGGTTTAGAAATAAAATTACCTTAGGATATGGATGTAGAACGATCTGTTGTTTACCATCGGCAAGGAAGAGATTATCAGCAAATAGAAAACGCGAGTAAGCAACGACGAGCGGGAATTTTAACCTCGCCAAGCGTGGCAACTCCCCGATGATTACTTTCCATACATGAAGAATCGCAGATATTCGCGGAAAATTACACATTGATAAAATTGCATATTGCATTTTCTACCCTTTTTATGTAAAGTAATGGCTCTATTTTGCTCTGTTTGCCTGGGAATCGTGTTGTATTAGTCACTTATAATGTGTGATCTAAAGAAATTCTAAAGCAGGTCACATTTTTCTACATCACAACACAGTATACCATAATTATATTGATAGTGTAAAAGGCATGTGTCTTCCTCATTTAATTTCTACAATGAATTCAATGTTTTCCATCTTTAATCAATATATATTTTTTCTCTTCTGAACTATCATTAAACGATTGTTCAGTACTTCTCTGTACTAATCTAAACTAGCTCACTCTGTATGTTTTGTTCTCCAAGATTTTACATTTTGACCTATTGTCCACGAATCGGCGATTTTTTACCACTGTGCGCCGACAAGCTCAAGGACGACGTGCCGGAGTGAGGGCGTCCCAGCAGACGCACGTGGTTCGTCGTCCCTCGGCCGCGGACGCGAGACGAATCAGTGGAGACAATTATTTTGTTCTGATTTTACTACTAAGGAATGGCTCAAGCATCACCCCCGTTCTTCGAACTGTGGTAAGTTGGCCACGATAATATCAACAAATCTATTTTCAAACAGAATAGCAGCATGGAAGCTCTTGCTAATATACAGAAACTTGCCAAGCAAAACAATGGAAAGGCACTAATTTCTTGCCTGCTGCCACACAAATGTATTGTGTTATTGGTAACTGAAAAGCTAGAATAATAAAGTAAATTGTGAGGAAAAGATAATAAAGCAAATTTGGTAAGAAGGCGTCTTATTTCCACAAAGCGAAAGCACACGAATAAAACCTTTAATATGTTTCATAATCGCTTTGGCATTAATTTTCCCGTTATGGAAATGTAAATTTTCGTAACGGGAAGAGGATCGGGAACTATTTGTTCTCATTTCCATTCCGAACGGAATCTGCTGATGAAGGCGTCGCATTTTATTTACTTTTATTTTGTAATCATTTAATGCGGTGCTTGGTGCCCAAGTTCCTGTCCGTTAGCGTCTACATATAAAAATGAAACTCAAAGAAATGCCATTATTATCCCCTGCTTTATATTGCGCAATTTTATACAAGATCAATGTTTGATCTGGTCAGGTCTCGACTGAGGCCTCGCTTGGTGGATTTCTTTCCTCGGGGCAAAATATTCTGGCCAAGCATCATCTTTTAATGCTTGTTGTAAGCGACGTTTCAGGTCATTTGAGTATATTTTGCCAGGCTGCAAATCATAAAATTAGAAAGGGTTGGTTACTTTTAGACAATGAAAGTTGTGGCTTCAACTGCATATTTAGTGATAATATCACTGTGATCCCATGCTGGCCTTATATCTACTGTACTTGAGAGATGATTTAGACGACTTAAATATTCATCTTCATAAAATTCTGTCGTATGCGGTCCTCGACTAATGACATCAATCTCAGGGAACACTTAGTGGTGTTCCTATATAGAGGTGTTTTCTTGTGACACCAGAATACAAATTGATATAATGAAGCTACAAGTAGTATATAGAAACATGGTTTTATTAGTAAATAGATTAGCTACTGGAAGTACGGACCAGCACAAACAAATGCGTCTTATTATTTTTTTTACTTTGAAAATGAAACACAGGTCTTTTTCCACTGGAAACTTTACTGCCATATGAAATACATAAAGTAGATTTTATTGTATGTTTTGAACGTCTCTGACAAGTGCTCTGCCGTGTAGAGCAGAAACACATACAACTCTGGAGCTGCAATGGGTAATAACTTGATGACTATGGATTATGATAGTGACTATATAATTTCAGCTAGAAATATGTATACAAATTATGATTCCTCTCAGTGCGGGAGACACCTTGGTATTTCCACTGGCACACACTTGCTGCGCCCGAGCAGAGGCAGCAGCAGCTGCCGCATGCCTTGTGTGAATACGATGTAGGGGAAGGGATGACACAAGGCTGCTCTTATGATACAATGTCACAAACCAAACAGCAATTTTTGTAATGACATTAAAAAAAAATCTGTAAAGAAATAATACTGTAGGAGTACCCTATGAAGTTTACTTTACCATTGGATTTTTATAACTTCAAAAGTTGATTTCACTATTGTGGTTAATCCATTAACATTCTACTTTCTATTTTGGAATTGTCTCCTGACAAAACATCCCACGTATTGCCTTTTTCTCACTCATCCAAACAGATATTTACAGACCAAGATGATTTGACACGCTCAGAAACTTCACAAATTCCTTCTTTCCTCGTGATTTCTATAAAAACTATTATGACACTTCAAAATGCAAAACACCAGTAAAATTATGACAAAAAAATATCCACACTTACTTTCAACTTTCACATGTGCAGGATTCAAGCATTTACAATTGTTTGAGATCACACAAAAATATTGATAGTATTACAACAAAGGAAGATATTACTGGTAATATGCACTTTTACAGCCAAGGCCTATTGCCTTGTAAAGACTACCTCTTCAACAGAGTACACTCTGAAGATGCCACATTCACACACCTGGAAACCAAAGAGGGGTTTGTTAAAATTCAGCAGAAACCAACAGCTGAAGAAAAACAGATGCTACTGGCTGTCCTCTCTCCTAGATTTTTATTATTGTATTTCAAATTAAGAGTCAATAAAATTGAAAAATAATAAATAACTTTCAACACATCTGGTCAATCAAAACCAATGAGCAAAACCGTAAGATCTCCTTAACTGTGAATCAGATACTTTCCAATGAAGTATGAGAGGAAAATGATCAGGTTGATGACTGTCACGTCCTGGCAAAGATATGGTCTTTGTGAAACCTTTTATGAAGTTTTATTCCTATAAACTGTAAGCAAAGAAGGAAAGGAGGAGCAAAGAAGAAGGTGGAAGAACACATGGAAAAAGGAGAGGAGGTAAGGAGAAGCTTGTAGAAAATGACTCAAGGAGAGAGTTAGGATCGAGGGAGGAAGAAAAGGGGAGAGATGAAAAACAAATTTCTGTAGACATTTGAGCAACAATGTAATACTCATATTTCTGGTTCGAATAACAAACTGCAGGTTCTCTATACGCATATATATTTTTTTTACATACACATTTCCTTGGAGGCTTCAAAAAATACTCACTCCGTGCAGCTTTCAGGAGTTGTTTAGTATTGCTATCTGGATACTGAAGTACTTTGCACTTTTAATAAATAAATATAGGTATAATACTAATAAAAGTAAAAAAAAAATAACAGGAACAATAATGATTGTATATAGAGAATTACAATTATAAGAAAGGCCCTTGCACGAATCAGGTCCATCGAGCACATTTTGAACAGCCTTTCTCCAAGGAACTCTTGCTCGTCTCTCTCTCTGGGCCAAATAGACAAGGCAATTTCAAGCTCATTACATTTTGCAACAATAAGTGTGAACAAATTGCACAGCAATGCCTCATCCATCAAGGCTGCTCTCAACACTTGATTCTCAGGAAGAATCGACCGAAAGTGTCATATCTGCCATATAATCAGTACAAAGCAGAATCCGTATTTCTGATAACTTGTAGCAACAATCTCTCTTACAAAATCCATATTCACTGTATTTGCCGGCAACAGGAGAAATTCAATATGCAATAAACGTTCCAGTCTTTATAGATAGGCCTACTTATATACATGGGGGGAACACAACATGAGCGAGAATGTAGAAGTTGTATAAACCTTGAAAAGATATCAACTCCCAGCTCCCTAGTTGGAAATAATATAAATTAGAAACAAAAATAAAAAATCACATATACAAATTGTTGGGAAACAAAAGAAAAGAAAAGAAAAAAAAATCTGCTTTGCATGCATCTGCTGTGTAAAGCAATGCATTTAATTTTCCAAAGACACAGATTCCTATAGCTGTCACTTCTCTGCCACTGAAGTGTAATTACTGTCCATTTTCTTTCTCTTCATTCCACCTTTTCCACAGATTATGCAATAAAACTGCCACCTCTTCCTAGTCCTTTTCTTCGCTGGGCTGAACTCCTCCTCCTCCTTCTCTTTTGCTAGAGCTACATGTTCCACTCCAAGCACATGAGAGCTGGGAGAAAGGGGTGAGAGCAAAGGGGGCAGGGAGGGGGCAGGAGGGGGAGGCAAGGGAAGAGCTATCTGGGCCAGTCAATGATGATACAGGCACCTGACAGCCGCCCTGCCCCTGTTCTGCTTCCCTGAGTGCAGGTTGCAGAGTCTGGTGCCTTGAGCTGAGCTTCTGATCGGCCAGGGCAGCCCTGAGTGAAGCCCCTTCCTCTTGCTGCTCTTCCTCAGCCTCTCTTCTGGAGCAGTGCACTTGCTCCAAGTCACGCACTATAAATAAGGTCTTATTTCTGCTTACCTTACATGATAATTAACATGTACCTGCAGAAAGAGAACATAGATGGTTAGACCATGTACACATATATAAATTTACTTGTACAAAAGCATGACTGACTTGGCACAAGCATAAATGTAGTTGTTAATGTTAAATCATTAGTGTTTTGAACTTGCAAGGAATTCAACCAATGCTTCCATCTCTTCCAACTAACAAAATTATACACTTGACAAGACTAGATCCAAAGAGCAATAGGGATTTTTCTTTGTCTTTACCTAAAAATACTAGGTTGGCAACTTTGTTCTTTTCCGAGCAATTGCATCTTCAACTGCACGGAGCTGTTTGAGAAGTTCCTCCCTTCGATTGGCTTGGGGCTTCTTTGCCTGCGGAGGGGCAGCTGGAATGGGGGCAGGGGGGCTTCGTACCACGACCTGTGGCAAAAGGCAGAGGGGACGTCACTTGATGAATTACACAATTCACAAAAGAGAGAACAAAAAGATGACAAAATACATTACCCAATGTACAAGTACTTTGGAATACATGACGATATACAACTTAATAAAAATGGCAATACAGTATGTGACTAACCACTATCAGCCATAACTAAATGGTGAACAGTTAAAAACAAGTTGACTTCTTCTAAAACATGAAAGTATGAAATGCAAAAGCTTACTTTCTGTGGCGGTGGCTCTGGGGGTGGGCTGTCTGGCTTGCGCTTGCGGATGACTTTTCCGTCTGTGTCCGACTCACCGCCTGAAATGCAAGACAATTTTTTAAAGTCTTGGCATGATGCTGAAGTCTTAATTGTACAAGAACAAAAAATAAGTAGGCTATTTCTTCTCAATACCTTTATTTGGCTTATCTGGAATATCAGATGCTTATTATTATTACTTTATTCTACCAGTAGTCATTACAGCCACTTCCATCACCTTTAAACTCTTTCTTAGCCTTCTGATTGGCACCATGCACTAGCTATCCTTCTGGTGCTGCAGCCTATACTTACTGTCATCTTCCTGTGGCAGCACTGGCTTATCCAGGCGTCTCATGGCCGACCCCTTCAGCGTCAGCTTGATCTGCTGCTTCTGTCCTGAGAGCTGAAAATGTAGGGAATTCATTCAAATATGAGCCATCTTGTTGACATGAGCAAAAGACCATCACGTCATGAGGGGTGGGTGATGTGAACATACCATCAAGGGAAAATTTGGCTATGGGCTGGGTGACACAACTTGCTGTTATGAGCATTTTGGCCGAAGGCTGGGGGTGGTGGAAAAGACTCACCACAAGTCCACAAACCTCTTGGAGGATGATTAGACTCATTTGGTGTTTAGGAAGGGGACTTGGCTTTATTCCCATTGACAAACATGTGTGGAATGTGGTGTGTGTGAGCCATGACTGGAAGAGTGCCAGCTCAGCATCCTATTCCTAGCTGCTGCGACTGCTGGTGCAGGTTGTGTTACAGAAAAATGAATGAATGAATGAATAAAAAAATCTTGCCCACAGTTATGAACTCCAAGAGGGAGGATATGGAGTCTGTGCAAAGAGAACAGTCTATTACCATATGGGTAAAGGAAATCAAATGATGGATATGGACGTTGGATAATGGAAGAAAAAAATAAAAAATAAAAAATAAAAACACTTATGCATAAGAGAAAATAACATCACCGCCACCGCCTACACATTGTGCACCTGCCAGAGTGGCTACTCATGTAAGCTTAATGTCTGTATTTTGGTCCATGTGACTGCCTTGAAGCAACCAGATCCAAGGGTTAATCTCTATTTTTGCATCCAGACAAACTATGCTTAAAAATAGTTTTCTAAAAAACTTTTCAAAAGCAAAAGGATGCTTGAGTGCCAACTTGTCTTTCCCAGGAATTTGCCCTTTTACTGTGCACGGAGATGCATTACGAGTGCCCATGTGCGTCATACAGCCGAGTTCTTGTTTTCAGCCAATCATTTTCCTGCCTTCCTAGATAGTTCTGCCTCTGGATGCAGTTGGCATCAGCACCTGGGCTAATCAGGTGTGAGGGTATATAGACCCTCTATCCACT